AACATTTGGGAGCTCTTTACGTTTCTGCCACAAACTACATAAAAATTTCTTGCATATCTTATCCCTGTCCTCTACGGCGTCTTGTGCCCACCATCTATCCCCAATTACAGCGATCGTTTTTTCGCTGTTGTCTAATTTACCAAACTTGTCCATGTCACACCCTCTCTGTCTCATGTCCTCCTCGAGATCCTCTCTTTCCTTCCTGTACAGCTCACACTCCCCAACTATGTGGGGTCTACTCTCCTCCGATTTGCCACATGGACATGTCTGTCTATCCTCCTCTTCCTCTCTCCTACGGCTGCTGTACCTCTTCCTCCGTTCTGGCAAGTCCAGATCGCCTACTCGAAATTGCAACTTCAGTTTTTTTGCGTAGTCCATGGAGCCGTCCAAGTAACTCTTCATCCCTATCCCTTCTTTCAACTTCCCGTATATCTCCAAGTGGTCTTCGCTTCGTACCTTCTTCGGAAGGGTTGCCTCCTCCCTACTTTCTAGCATCTCCTTGAATTTCTTCTTGAACCCCCCGGACCCTTCCGTGTCCAATGTCTCCTCCTCGTCTCCTATCTCCTTCCAAACCCTCTCTACCACCTTGTCCCATCTGATTCCTTTCTTCCCTGGAGTCGCTTTTCCCCAAGCTGCCTTGTCAACCATGGCTGGTAGTCTATCGTCCGACATTCTACTTACCTTGTACTGCCAATTCAACTTTTGCATGTCTCTCTTTGTTTGAAGAGAGTACATTCCCAGTTCTGCTCTCAATACAGTGTTGCTCGTTGTACTTGAAAATCCTAGTATTTTCTTGGCCGCTGCCATCTGCACCGCTTCCAGCTGCTTGACGGCCTTTTCGTTACCTTCCCATACCTCTACTGCATACTCTAGCTTAGGTACAATCACATTCAAGAGAACACACCTCTTAATCCTAGTGTCTAGGTGTGGGTCCGTAAGGATCTCGTCCATCTTGCCTATCTGAGCTTTACCCTTCCCAATCAACTTTGCTATGTGTGCGTCCCATGAGCACTCCTTCGAAATCTCTACTCCCAGGTACGTATACCTGTCTACTACCGGTAGTTCTTCCTCCCCCCATTTCCATTTGA